GTTCAGGCTTAGGAATAATTAATATCGTGAAAATGGCTATATTTCCCAAAGTAATTTACAGAATCAATGGTGATCCCCATCAAGCTACCATTGACTTTCTTCACAGAACTGGAAAAAACCACCATGAACTTCATATGGAACCAAAAGAGAGCCCGCATAGCCAAGTCAATTCTAAGCAAAAAGAATACAGCGGGGGGCATCACATTATTGGATTTCAAACTATACTACAAGGCTACAGTAATCAAAACAGCATGGTACTAGTACCAAAACAGAGATATAGACCAATGGAACAAAACAGAGGCATTGGAGGCAACACAACATATCTACAACCATACAATCTTTGATAAACCTGACAAAAACAAGAAAGCAGAAACTGGACTCCTTCCTGACACCTTACACTAAAATTAACTCCAGATGGATTAAAGACTTAAACATAAGACCTGGCAGCATAAAAACCGTAGAAGGAAATCTAGGCAAAACCATCCAGGACATAGGAGTAGGCAAGGACTTCATGAACAAAACACCAAAAGCATTGGCAACAAAAGCCATAATAGACAAATGGGACCTAATGAAACTCCACAGCTTCTGCACGGCAAAAGAAACAGTCCCTAGAGTGGATCGGCAACCAACAGAATGGGAAAAAATTTTTGCAGTCTACCCATCTGACAAAGGGCTGATATCCAGAATTTACAAAGAACTCAAACAGATTTACAGGAAAAAAACAATCAAGCCCATTCAAAATTGGGCAAAGGATATGAACAGACACTTTACGAAAGAAGACATATATGAGGCCAACAATCATATGAAAAAATGCTCATCATCACTGGTCATCAGAGAGATGCAAATCAAAACCACATTGAGATACCATCTCACGCCAGTTAGAATGGCGATCATTAAAAAATCTGGAGACAACAGATGCTAGAGAGGATGTGGAGTAAAAGGAACACTTTTACACTGTTGGTGGGAGTGTAAATTAGTTCAACCATTGTGGAAGACAGTGTGGCGATTCCTCAAGGCCTTAGAAATAGAAATTCCATTTGACCCAGCAACCCCATTACTGGGTATATATCCAAAGGACTATAAATTGTTCTACTGTAAGGAAACATGCACACGAATGTTCATTGCAGCACTGTTTACAATAGCAAAGACCTGGAATGAACCCAAATGCCCATTGGTGATAGACTTGATTGGGAAAATGTGGCACATATACACCATGGAATATTATGCAGCAATCTAAAATGATGACTTTATGTCGTTTGTAGGGACATGGATGAATCTGGAGAACACCATGCTCAGCAAACTGACACAAGAACAGAAAATGAAATACCGCATATTCTCACTCATAGGCGGGTGATGAAAAATGAGAACACATGGACACAGGGAAGGGAGTACTAAACACTGGGGTCTATTGGGGGGAAAAGGGGAGGGCCAGCGGTGGGGGGGAGCTGGGGAGGGATAGCCTGGGGAGAAATGCCAAATGTGGGTGAAGGGGAGAAAGGAAGCAAAACACAGTGCCATGTGTGTACCTATGCAACTGTGTTGCATGTTCTGCACATGTACCCCAAAACCTAAAATGCAATAAAAAATTAAATAATAATAATAATAATAATAATAATTGGTCACGGCCAGTGCCAGGAAACAGCAGTCTCCTGATAGATAGAAAACAGCTGAAACTGCTGATCAGCAGCTTCCTGATAAGAGCTCAGAAGTTGTGCAAGTGGGCTCAAGCACGTGTATGTGGACAGCTCAACCCAAGCAAAAAATCAAGGAAGAAGTAATGCAAGACCCCAGAAGTATGCCAATGTATAAAACCCTAAGTCAAAGGTCAAACTGCTCTTGATCTCTCAAGTCATTCACATGGCCCTCTTCCAAGTGTACTTTAATTCTAAAGCTTTTAAATAAACTTTCACTTGGGCTCTCAAACTTGCCTTGGTCTCTCCTTTTGCTTTATGCCCTTAGGTAGTATTCTTTCTTTCTTTCTTTCTTTTTTTTTGAGACGGAGTTTCACTCTTGTTACCCAGGCTGGAATGCAATGGCATGATCTCGGCTCACCGCAACCTCCGTCTTTCTTCTGAGGATACAAGAATTGAGGTTGCTGCAGATCCATACAGATGTGCCTCTGGTTACATATTTTACTGCCATGAGAGTGGATACGTTCTGCTGCTAACAATACAGTGTGTAACCTTTTGAGAATGACTTCCTTCACTCAGCACGATGCTTTTGAGATTCACCCAGATTGCTATGGGTATCAGTTGCCACCTCTTTTTAAGGAAAAGTAAATCTACTTGCAAAGCCTGTCTGTGGCCTGCAATTACTTTGAGGTTTTGGTCACTGTAGTTAGCCATGAATGGTAATAATCACTTAGCTCTCTAAGATTGAAGTTTGAGCATAATATATTCACATGCAAAAAAGCCATGGAAATCACTTCATGGAAGTTACTCTCATTTTTCTTCTTTTTATGAAGCTAGCTAATAATTCTTGTTCTGCTAACAAGGTTTTGGGGAAAACAAATTTGATAATAAAATTCAAAAGAATTAGTATGTGTGTGGGTGTTATATGATGTATATAGAAGGCTTTTCTTTACATTTTATTTTAAGTCAATCATTAGTACTTTATTTTCCTGCTATGGTGGTGTTCGTGGTTGGTTAGGATGAAATATTGTTTTTATGTTTTGGATTTTTTTTTTTTTTTTTTTAAGGTGGAGTCTTGCTCTGACACCTGGGCTGGAGTGCAGTGACTCAATCTCTGTTCACTGCAACCTCCACCTCCTGGGTTCTGGCAGTTTTGGAGCCTCAGCCTCCTGAGTAGCTGGGACTACAGGTACGCACCACCAAGCCCGGCCAATTTTTGTATTTTCTTTAGTAGAGACGGGGTTTCTCCATGTTGGCCAGGCCGGTCTTGAACTTCTGACCTCAGGTGATCCACCGACCTAGGCCTTCCAAAGTGCTAGGATTATAGGCGCGAGTCACCACACCTGGCTCAAATATTGTTTTTTAAACATTTTCTTACAGAGTCATGCCTATGATTTCTAATTAGATCATGCTATAGTTCATAAACTGAGAGTATATATAAATCAAAATATATAAATATATGAAAATGTTCACAGTTATTACAAGTTTTTGGCTGCTTCAGATACATCGGTCCTAGATTATAATAATGGGTCAACTTTTTAAGTTAAGAGGGAGGTGGCTTGTTTTTTGAAAGAACCTTTCTGCAGGCTTCTACAAGATGACTTCACAGGTCTGGAATTTGTGTTCTTTTGGTATATTTGGTGAAAATAAAAATGTGAATAATTGAAATGCACTAAATATAGCTAAGCTGTGAAAGAATTACATGGGCTGTGGGAGAAAAACACAGGGGCATTGTTAATAGAGCATTTGTTTTGCATCTGGCCAGCTACAGTGATAGAAATAAGCAGAGATAGAGACATATACACCCAGAACACTTAAATACCAAGGCCCAGTTTAGGACCATTTGCATGCTGTTTAGAGAAGGGAGCTATCAAAGCTGTGAGAATTTATCAGAGAAAGGTTTCTTTTCCAGAATTTCTGCAATGTAATGATATACTGTCACAATAAAGGAAATTATTTTAAAGAACAAAATAACGAACGTGGTTTGGGATCAGGTTGACTGTGAGCACAAGGGGTCTGGACTTCATTCCACGTGCAGTGCAGTGTTACTAAAGAGACTGGGCTGCGGAGGCACGTGATGAAAACAGTATTTTATTGAGATTTGCCTGGCAGCAAAATCTTCAGCTAATAGAAACTGGAGCCAGTGGATCTGTCACAAGTGATCAATCCATGTTGCTAGTATAACATGGAGATAAGATCTTACTCTAGGTTAAGAGCAGCCGAAAGTAGGTATGAATACGTGGCTTATAAGAAAGCATCTGTTGCTAGTTTTGGGAGAGTAGTGGAATGCTTTGAACTTGTGAAAAAGTAGGCTACATTTATGATGTTTCAAAGTGTGTTGAAGCTATTTTTAAGAGAGTGTGTGTGTGTGTGTATGCTTCTACCAAAAATGAATTTGAGGTTTTATTTCTATGTTTATGGACTCTTCCAGTCTTACATGAGTCCTTGATTATACCAATGTCTCAAGCTTGTGTGCTGAAGTCTTTTAAAACTGTGAGGATGTGCAGATTCTGCCTATGAATAGATTGGATTTGCCTTTCAGGCTTAGATGCCAATTTGTGCTTAAACCTAGCCACTTATCATGACTAAAGCATGTTACTCTGTTTGAATATTTATTTCAAAATTAATCATACGGAAATCATGCCTCAACTTAGGAATGTTAGAAAAACTGCATTAGTAGACCCAGCCCATATTCTCAACCTTGTAGACTCTTTTAATCTTATGTTACAATATAATCAAGGAAAAGTAGATAGTGATTAGAGGGAAAAGAACATTACTTTTGTTGGTGGTGACAATGTTATGAATTCAAGTGTAAGTTATTATTTGTCCTAATTGAACCTCAGTTTGCTTTAATTGAGACTCTTATTCCTAATAAATACACTTTGGTTATTTGTAGTATGATGTATGCATTACCAGAAATCATAGACACGTTTGGTTTTAAAAGCAATAGCTTGCTTGTAATGACCCACTATCACAGCAAGGATAAATCTTCCTTGTACTTGGGTCTTCAGACCACAGTTGCATTCAAAACAACATGTAGTTTAGGATTCTGAAAGAATGATTCTTTCTGATGGTTTTAACATTAAAGAGGAAAAAAAGCAGTAGAAGAAGGTATTTTGAAACTTAGGGTATGGATATTGAATTAGTTCTAATGGGCTCAACAAATATAAATAAATAGACCAGTGATACTGAGACAAAATGTATGGATATTGGGGTAGATAAAAGCAAATGTACAAAAAACTATAGTTAAAGGCAAGCTATTGAATCAGGGAATCGGAAGTGTGAGAATTTGTAAGGCAATGAAAATTCACCTTTAATTTTAATGAGATCTATCTTACATGGGCTTACATGTGGAATTGCAATTCACAGGATGACCAGCTCGTCCTTTCTTACTTGGGACCTTTGAGGTTTCAGCATTGAAGATCTCATATCCCGAGAAAATCATCACAGGTAACCCTAAATCTTAATATTATTTCTTAAATGACATAAGCATGGATCTGTTTGCTCCTTCACTTCATCTTCCTTTACTTTCTTACCCTCATGGAAGTCACCTATTATCATAACTATCAATCCCACTTATTTTAAATGGCTATTGATGGTTGAAAGCCTTCCAAGTAAAAGAAACAAGAAGCAATGTTTTCATGTAGACATTCACATATATATCATCTACTGTGTTTCATGGGCCAAGAGTTCATATAAAAATTTCTTTATGGCTGGGCACAGTGGCTCAAGCCTGTAATCCCAGCACTTTGGGAGGCCGAGACGGGTGGATCACGAGGTCAAAAGATCAAGACCATCCTGGTCAACATGGTGAAACCCTATCTCTACTAAAAAAAAAATACAAAAAATTAGTGGGGCATGGTGGTGTGTGCCTGGAATCCCAGGTACTCAGGAGGCTGAGGCAGGAGAATTGACTGAACTTAGGAGGTAGAGGTTGCGGTGAGCCGAGATCGCGCCATTGCACTCCAGCCTGGGTAACAAGAGCGAAACTCCATCTCAGAAAAAAAACAACAACAAAAAATTCTTTACATTCTTCTAAGCCATTGAACGAAAATTCTCATTTTGTTATGTTTAATCTGATGTTTAACAGACAACTGTATTTGTAAATTTGAGAGGTGGGGGGTGGGGGAGTTTATTTGCCTAAAATTTATTTTATTTTAATTACAGCACCATTGATATAAAACTTCACATTTAAAAATCTATGTTGTTGGAAACATCTTCAGATATGTCAGAAGTGCTGAAATAGATACAAGCTAGTAGCTTGTCAGTAAAGCAAACAAAAACTGCTGGGTCAGGAGCACAGCTGTTTGTAGAAGGCATTAAATATTTTTTACAGTCTTTCCCGTAGGCCAGTATTTTTATGCATTGATTTATATTTTAATAATGACAGACTCCACTGGCATGAGTATTTCTTTTCCTCAGAAATTAGATAAAAATCATAATTTAGACACAGGATAAAAGGTGGAGAGAATTAGTATTTTGCAGCATTAATTAGCTTACTTGCCCTCACTTATTTCTGATCAAATAAAGGATGCTTAGTGTAGCAGCAAACAGGGCTATGAATATCCTTCAATTGTACAATACGATATTGATGTTTGTAATGCATGTAAATTCAATAGTTTTGCCTTTATTTTTAAAGAATGGTTTTAAATATACTGGTTTTAGATCACTACAGTGACAGTGAACAAAGGAAGCGATTGGATTTAAAATATAACTTTAAAAGGACCACTGTTGAAGGAAATGCTCGAGCTGTGAAAATACTCCTAGAGAATGTGTGATTATGCAAGCTTTCTCTCAGTTTGTACTCTCATTCCTTCTCTTGTATTTTTCTGTTTTGCATCTTCATTATGAATTGGGGTTGCCAGAAAAAAAAAGGTAACCTAAGCAGGTCAGCATTTTATTTTTAAATAATTGTTTGTGTTGTTTTCCAAAGCATGCAACTTCAGTCTCACTCGACCAGCTCCTCTCTAGCCCTATTGCTACCCCTTGCAGCTGCTGCTTTATTCAATTCAACCTGTACACTTTCTCCACTGTTGGCTCCCTGCACTATGTTTCTCACTTTCTTTTTCCACATGGCTGCTTGGTTTGCAGAAGATGCCTTCTTACAGATGTGTTCCCTCCCCTGACAAACAATTACTCCTGTTCTCCCCAGCAGGAGTCCATTAGGATATCATCACGGGTTCTGCTAAGTCATCTCACAATCACAGTTTTGTGCAATCACCTCTCATCTGAGACTCTCTAGGCATATGCCATGCAGGGAAACTAGCAGTCACAAATGGCAGCACCTCCAGGCATATATTATTTGTTATTTTGGTCCAGAAGTGTAACAGATAATGGCTAATACACTAATGTCTGACAGTCTCATTGGACTCTTTGACTGGCATCATTTACAGCAAACTTGGGAAAGACTGAATGGGTGATCATGTGCTAATTGAGAGAGGACAAAAAGAGACATTTTCATATTTCCATAGCAATTACACACAATGTTCTAAAAGACACCTGACAACAATAGTGATTTTTACGAAGTTGTTTTTGTGCAGACTTTCAACATTCTGAGGTTGGAAGAATAAATTGCCAGATACTAATTACCTTCCTGGAAAATAGCCATTTGTATGTTTACTTTTTGTTTTAATTTCACACACCCCACTTATGTGAATCCACAGAGTGAAGACCTATCTGAAATGTACTCCTTTAAAATCAATGAAATACACATGCAATGGAACATACATGGCTTTTTTTCTTAAGGTTTCTCTGACAGCCCTACCTATTAAATCTTCTGGTTTTATAAGTAGCATCTCATAGGAATTTCTGTAAGTCTAAGCTCAAATATTTAATATATTATAAAATAAGTGAATTTTGGCATGATGCCATATTAACACTTAGATTGTTTTTTATTGATTCTTGAGTCTGGCTTACTACTGCACTGGGGTCCAGTGTGTGAAATCAAACAATGTACTAACAAGCTAAGACTTCTGGCCGGGCGCGGTGGCTCAAGCCTGTAATCCCAGCACTTTGGGAGGCCGAGGCGGGTGGATCACAAGGTCAAGAGATCGAGACCATCCAGGTCAACATGGTGAAACCCTGTCTCTACTAAATATATAAGAAAAATTAGCTGGGCCTGATGGCGTGTGCCTGTAATCCCAGCTACTTGGGAGGCTGAGGCAGGAGAATTGCCTGATCCCAGGAGGCGGAGGTTGCAGTGAGCCGAGATCGCGCCATTGCACTCCAGCCTGGGTAACAAGAGCAAAACTCCGTCTGGGGGCGGGGGAGGGGAGACTTCTACAGAGTCCCAGAAGGCAAGTGAGGAAGGGGGCGCTGTTTTCCTACTATGAAATTTCACTCATTTGTTCCCTCACTGGTGTGCACAAATTCCTTAATTTCACTTCCTCAGAACTTCAGAATGAAATTTTATCAATTTTGATTCATTGAAGTGAAATTCAGTCAAGATTAGTGTGGACATATGAATTACAGAATTTTGGAGGAAATGTATAGTTTTATTTTTGTCCAGGGCACATAGGTAACTGAACTAAGCACTGAACATACTGTCCCAGTTTGATATGACATGAACATTTAATAAATACTTATGTAATTGAGCTGAATTGGATCCAAGAGCTCTATAGAATCTCCAGTTTAATGAGCAAGTGAAAATTATTTGTAATTGGAAAAGCAGAGTATCAGCCACAACAACCTCAGGCTCTCCTTAAATTGTAACCAGCCACTTGCAATTGGAAAGATGCTCCCAAAGTACTTGAATTCAATGTGTTCTCTCGAGTAGCCAGATAAACATTTCTGTTCAATGTGGCTTGTGTTGTTCACTTGTTCAGTTAAACTAGTCATCCATGCCTTATTTTTTCTCTTCTACTGAGAAGAAAAGAAACAACAACAAAACTGTAGACCTAGTTTTTCTCTCCACCTGGATTTTCACAAATTCTATGTTAGGCAAAGATAATTTGGATTTTTTACTCTCTATTGCACCCCAATTCTCTACTCAACAGATTTACAAGGATAAGAAAAACAGAGTTCCAATTGAGTTGGCTAAATGCTATTGGTGACATAAAAATGCAGAACTGTAGTCCTGTCTTGGTGCATCTCATTTCAACTGTCAAATGTATCCAGCTTCTAAATCCAGTGACTTAGACAGAGCGGGGAGAGAGAGAGAGAGAGAGAGAGAGAGAGAGAGAGAGAGAGAGCGAGAGCGAGCTATGTTCAAAACACGGTATTAGCTGTTACAGGTGGATACAAAACATAGGAAGATAGGTTATCTTTCTTTACGAGGCCCCCAGTATAATGAAAAAGGTAAGGTAACATAGCATACAAATAATTGCACATACCAAACAGTCTGTAAATTACTGTACAGAAATGAAAAGTAAAATGATCCTGAGTTTGATTTCAACTCAGTTTGACCCTGATCATGCCACCTAACTTCCTCAAACCTCAATTTCCATATCTACAAAATAGGCCTAATCATGACAACTTTCTCTTTGTAAAGATTAAGAGTGCAATGCACAAAAAGTACATAATGTGGTGTCTGGCACACAGACAAATGCTCAAAAATAGGATTTATCAGATGGTCTTAATTAAGGATTTCCTGATAAACATGATAAATGAGATAGGCCTTGAAATATGAGGAGTATCACTAGGTTTACCTAGCTAAGGTGGGTAAGAGAACATCCATGTTTGAGATTGCATGCAGAGTTATCATCATTTATCCCTAGCAGATTGTTGGCATGACCACCTACCTGGGCCACCCATCAAAAGCAGAAAGAAGACAGAGTCAAGGGGGACAGAACTTGAAGCTAAGAGAAAGCAGAGTCAAGCTAGACTTCCCTGTTAGGTATTTGCACCAAAAGACAAGGGAAAAGATTTACTCTAGATCTGAGTAATACCACTAGTGATCCAAAGAGATTCACATCAAAAGAAGTCAGAAGAGAATATGGAGGCAGAATTCTAAAGAAGAGATCACAGGAGAACTCAGGGTTAAACTGGGTGTTTCAAGTGTTGAATCAGAAGAGGACAGGAGAAATCAGAATGGGATTTGAGCTCATTCTTTCCAGTTCAATTACATAAGTGTTTACTGAATGTTCATGTTATACCAGACTAGTAGACTAGGACACTGGGTTCAGTGATTAGTTCAATTACTTACGTAGTTAGACAAAAATAAATTTCCTGGGAATTTGGAGGAGATAGGAACAGGGAAAGACACACACCTGTTGATCTTCTTGGCCTGTGCCTTGGACAGCTGTTTTGAATATTAGGTGCTACAGAGACAAAGGAAAGATGAAGTCAGCACCATAGATGCCTGGAATTCTGCAAGAGGCTAGATTTGAAATCTTCATCCTCTCCTAGGCTTTGGTTTTAGGAGAAGCACAATATATTCTGCATAGTGTAGAAGTACAGTGCATTTCACAGGTGATATGAGGCCAATACTAAAAGGAAAGAGAAGCATATAA